TGAAAGTAACCACTAAGTAGTGTCATATATAAATATGGGCAATGTTTAACCTTTGTGTAAGCAAAAAAACACTGTCAAAAGGACAGTTTTTTTTCACTTGTTTTTTTCATACTATTTATTTATTATACTGTTTATTGGAATGGTTGGTAAAAAAAAACTGGTTAATTGCCAATTGCTTCAAACTTTTTAAAATGCTAAATAAAGAATTTCTTATAGCTGGTTAACATATTTTAAATTTTAGTAAATGTTTATAAATTTATGAATAAAAAATTTTTTCATATTTATTTCTTTATAAATTGGTAAATGATAAATCTTGTATTGCATTAGTTTTAATTGTATTACTTTTTAAGATGTTTTAAATATAAAATTATTCTTGTAAATATACAATCTAATAAATAAATAGTGTTTAATATTTTTGTTGTCAATTCTCAAGAACAAAGAAAATATATAAATTCACTTTCAATGTTTAAGTTTTATTACAATTCTAATCATCATTTTGTTAAACACTGCTGAGGAAAATAATAGGTGTCAAGAGAACAACTGACCTTTTGACACACTGTTTTTGTTTTAAAGCACAAACATTATAAACTGCTGAAATTTGGTCATAAACTAAAATCTGCAATCTCATCTGGGGACTAAATGGTTTACTGGACCAGTTAAACCACAAAATAAAAGAAATTATCACAACCTCTTGAGTGATCTCATGTCAATACAATATTTCTTTCATTTAGTTAGTGATTATACAAAATACAGTCTTATTGTCTCTCGTAAAAAAAAAATCTGTTTTGTAAAAATATATTTTTAACAATTCTTATTACATGATCGCCAACTCTATAACTTCAAAGCCTAAAAAAATAAAAAATAAAAATCTAAAATTTTCTTTAAAAATAAAATATATAAAAACATATGGGAATAAATAAATAAAAAAAATTAAATAAAACAAAATAAAAATAGATGACTGAAAACAATAAATAAAAATAAAATAAATTCAAAAATTAATCTAAAAATATTTGAACTAAAATGACAGTTTCCCATTCCACTTCTTTCACTGTCATATATAAGTATTTATAGGGGCTTACTAAGCATATCTTAGATGTGGCACAAGGCCAAAAGTGTAGAGTACCCAGTAATATATATATATATATATATATATATACGCATAAATAGTAGTATCACATCAAGATAATTGCTTGAGGCATGAAATTAACAGTCACCATTCAGTATTGATTTCTGTGTTCAAACTGTTTATATCAACGAATGCTCTATCCCCAACATTTAGCATTCTTCCTCCATAAATATAGTGAAATTTAAACAATAGAAATGTGTGTATATATATATATATATATATATATATATATATATATATACAGAGAGAGAGAGATAGACATTAAGTGAGAGGAGAAGATAGATATATTGAGCGATAATAAAATATAAATATTTTGTTTGTTTTCTTTGTTTTTAATCACAGATGATGTTTGTGATCTTTTTCACCTTTATATCTCAGATAGAGTTTCTCTGAAGGAGTCGCTTTCCAAGAATATTTTCTTTTGGATCTCAGTAATGTTTCTCATCTGATATTTCTTTTCTATGATATCTTCTGGATATCAGAGTCAGTTTTCTCAAATGGTGCCTCTTTCCATTTCTAGATGCCAGTAATCAATTCCAATCAGAAAATGTAACATATTCTCCTGAAGGAATTAAAATCTTCAATTCTTGATAATGTCTTCTAATAGAGGATGTTTACATCCCAATTATAAATTTTTATTTTAATTATACATGGATTCTTTCAAATTTCCTTGACTTTGTTTTGTCAAAGGTGCGATGGATAAATTGTCACCATTTTATATTTTTAATTTGTGCATGCACGTTTTTGATTTTGTCAACTGGATAGTATAGTTGGGTCAGTTGGGCACCATCTGTGAGAAAAAGAGCACCATGGCACAATTCACCCCACTAGAAATTTGAAACAGCATGCTCTACTGCTTGGCATTCACACCAAAAGCTCCAATATGAACATTTCAGTGTGTTTGGGTGCCAATTTGAGGACAGTTCAGAGTATTTGGAAAGAGTTGGATGAATCTAATGGTCATTATAAATTGTATGACAGCTCAGAAAACTCACTCTAATCAGTCTGATAAGAAAAGAACTCCCTAATTTGTTGGTGAGGGCCTCAGACTCAACACAGAGGCCAACATCAAATACCATGAGGAGGTGGTGCTGCCCTGGTTGAAGAGGGTGGATACTGGAAGACACTGTGTCTGGCAACAGGAATCTTCACTATGCCACACAAGCAGGAGAATCCAGTCATGGCTGTCAGACAAGTTCTGTAACCACATAACTCTTTACATCTGGTCACCTAACTCCCCAGACTGCAGCCCCCTTGATTATTATGTGTGAGGTGCAGTTGAGTAAAAGACCAATAAAACTCCTTGTAACACCAAACGAAGGCAAGGATTATGGCAGCATTCACCAATTTAAACAAGGAGACCGTCCAGAAGAGATGAAGGAGATTCTGAAGTCATCGGGAGGCTGTGATTGAAAGCAATGGCAATTTTATCAAATAAATTTACTCTTTAGTATTTCAAGATATTTTTGTGTAATTTTGGTAAATATATCTGTTAAAATGAGATGTCAGTGTTATTTTCATTTTTGTGTAATTTAGATGACAATTTATCCATCGCACACTGTATAATCATTTCAGCAGCTGTAATATCAGGCCTTCCTCAAATATCTATTGCATTTTGTGCTCTTCCAGAACCACTGAATGAAACTCTTTGTTTGATTCTGAAAGATAATGAACTGTCATTCCCTAAGTGTCACATCTTGTATCTTTCCTAATTAATTTAAAACCTGTAACTGTCAATTTTTCCTTATAATTTTGCAATCTCTCAACTAATGTTAATGAATGCAGAAATATTTTCAAAAATATGTTTTTTCTGAGTTAAACTGTTACAGTTATACATTGAATTTCTCCTTACCCATCTCCTTATCTTTGTTTTTTTTTATTAACATATTCAATAATAAAAGAGCTTATTTTTGCAAATTTACCGATTCCAGTCTTGATCTCTCTTCAGCTATAAGTAATCAGAAGTTAGAATAGGCTCTAGAGACTTGTTTGGCAACTAGTCTAGAAGGTAAACAACCCTGTTTGAATTTCTGGGATGAGTAGTTTATATTATATTTCAACTAATATACACATGCTTGTTGTTATTAACAAAATATTTTGGTTGTTGTGCCCTTTGGCTTTCTTCAGGCAACTGTTGGTCCATTTCAAATGAAACTTTTTACTAAATCTACAGGAGTAGACTGTTTTCATTCAACAGTCCATGTCAAGAAATATCTCAGCTTGTTCTCTTTTTAGAACTGCTCAGTTATTGCTTGCTCCTTTAGTCTTTGCCTGTACTGTCCTGCCCAGAAGGTCAAGGCATATCAACAAGCTAGTAGCAAGCAACAAAAACATTAAGTTAAAGGATCCCAGTTTTAGATTCAGGATTATCCTATGGGGAAATGGTCTTGAGGATTAAAGTGTTGGTTCATAAACTTTGTGATATGGTGAATTCAATCACTGAGCCATGTGGTACAAACTCAAATTGAAACAGGGCTAGAAGGAGATATCCTTAGACATGAGCAATGGAACAAGAATAATGTCTCACCCATAGATTAAATAAAATATTCAGTTCAAAATTCCCCGAAGGTTACCCAGATTGACAAACACCTGAAGAAGGTCAGAGGGCACAATAGCCTAAACTTTGTGATAATAACTGAACTGTGAGACTGAACCTTTGCAAGGTCTCCAACTAGTGTCCAGTTGGCTGAAAAAATAAACAGGGATGTAACTTGGTTGGACATTAGATTATGTCCAACCAATCACCAGTGTGACACAACAGGTAGAGTTGTTGAGACACTACCTAACCGTCAATATCAAATCAGAGTGGTTGGATCAAGCAAGATCACCTTGTGGAACCGCTGATTTCTCAGGAAGCTTCAAACACCTGCAGTCCCTACTCCTATCCCTAGTGCTTTACGTGAGCCCCCTTAGACAAGTATCAGGGGCACCCACATGCCAAAGAAAATGAGACATCACCCAGTATCGTCTAGCCACAAAAAATTACCCGAGCATTGCCAGATTACTCCCATACAATCAGCCAGGCCAGAAAGAACTCATCTCCCCTCAAAGGGCATTACCCTTGTGTGATGGGGGGGGGATGAACAATCAAGAGTGTGAGACTCACCTTCACAAGGTTTCCAACTAGCGTCCAGTTAGCTGACAAAAATAAACAGGGTTGTAACTCAATACATGTCCCTCTCTTGAATAAGTCACAGTATACAGGATATTTATTGAGCACAATATCCACAGTGGAATCATCAGTCAATCAGAACTTACAGAATAGACTTGCCCGGGTAACAGAGTAGAATCTCCCAGGCTGTTATATAAGCCACCTACCAATTTGCCCAGCAAACTTTCTTAGTCAGACTCAACTTCTATTACAATCGAGCACTGTCTGTTGCTATTACCAAACTCTACAATAACAACAAAGATGAGGAGATTAGTTTGAATGTAAATAATGTAATTGGTGAAAAACTCAAACTAAAATTGGTGCCTGTAAAGCAGATTGGTTCCATTTTTATAAGCTAATTGGAGAGGAGATAGGTGCTGTCAATTCTCCTCTTCACCCACTGATCTAAGAAATGTTGTAAAGTAAAATTACTCAGTGTGGCACATCCCAAATTGTAATGGAACAATCTATTTAATTGATTGATTTGTTTTATGGCTTATCAACAATTTACAGGTTATTTAAAGCCAGAATTTTTTTTTCAGATTGTAAGATTTGTTTTGGTGGATAATAATGATTTAGCGACACAAGCCTTACTAAGTAACCCATAGCTGGGGTGAGAAGAGGTGGATTCAAGTGAATATAACAACCCCAATTGAAATTGAAACTCAGCTATTTGATTAATGATTCTAAGTCATTATCTATTACACCACCTGCACATCCAAGCTTACAGCACTTGGTATTCCCAAGCATTCACTCATCTAGCTACTGACCAAGCTCGATGTTGCTTAACTTTGGTGATCGTTCAGGAACTGGTATTTGAATGCTATATTGCCATAGGCCTAGGATAAACTGGAACTGTAATATGCTTCTTTTTATTTGAGTTTGAGATCATATTTTGCATATTAGACATCTGGAATATATCATTTGATCTGTGGGAGTATGTCCTTTTCATTCCTATACCTGTCAAGTCAAGTGCCCTTCTGAGGGAATTTCAAAGCTTGTAACTGTCAATTCTTCCTGATGATTTAAAAAAGAAATGAATTTTGGGGCTGGAATAATCTATGTCAATCATTATATTTGAAAAATCAAATCTTCTGCAAGAGTGGAAACATTTATGTCAATGCCATAATGCTCTGGGAGAGGAAAAAAGATTAGCAAAATCAACTGACATGCTTTGATCAGTGTTGCAGCAAGATACAAAAACCATTACCTTTGATGCCTTCTGGATTACATTGAAATTCGATCAGGTAGGGTGAGAGAGAGAGAGAGAGAGCAGGCTAGAGCATGAGACTGGAGTTTAGAAAAAGATGGTCACTCATTTTCATCCACCTTGGACTTGATTTTAAAGTTATTTGTAGGGAGATTAAACAATTGTTCAATGTATCTAAATATATTTGCATGTAGCATTAAGCAATTGTGGATACAATGAGCTAAATTCTGATGAAAATTTTCACACATTCAGGTTACAAACATGGATTCCCTTCAACTTCAAAGATAGAAAAAAATCATGCAAATATGTATGTAGGTACATGGCCAAGTGGTTAGAATCTTAGCACTCCAACCATGAAACACATGTTTGAATCTCACCAGAGTCAATTTGGTAGCAAGGTTATTTCTTGATAATATTGGCCTAGGGAGATAACCTAAGTGTGCAGCACCATTGGCAAGTGCCTGAAAAACCATAGCATAGGTTAACCCAAACATTATGAGTGAAATTGGAAGCCATTGATGACTGTGCTGGCTCAAAATCACAAGTCAGCATGACTGAGAGTTTAAGTGAACTGGCTTTGTTCAAAATACTGATCATACCAGATTATGCATTCTATCCCAGAAACTTTAACTAATGTTCACTCATCATAGTTGCAGTATAAGCTGCAAACTCTGTAGGTGTTGAAAAGTCTGCCTGAGTAGACATCTCTTAATGAGGATTAGCCAGACCCCCTCCTCTAGCTGATAGGTATACTCAGATACAAGTGGCCATATCTATATCTAGATGTGTGTGTATGGGTGCAACCCTCCACAAACCTATAAAATAGCAGTGATAAAAAGCTTCCTAAATAGAGCACATCTTCTTCCTTAAAAAGATTTTTTTAGTGAGCTTAAATATATAAAACAATCATTGGTTAACAATAATTTTCCAAACTTTATTATTAATAACCGAATAAGAATATGCCTACAGAAATTAAATGGCACTAACACTAAAAATAGAGTACAACAAAACATTAATATCTTTACTGCAGTAGATGCACAAAAAATGCACAAGAAGAATTTGCCATATGGTGCATTATTAAACAATACATTTTACCTGTTGTTCTGATCAACAGTCGTGTAGCTGGAGGGGTTGGTCCATCTTGGGAAGCACTTTTATTGTTATGGCACTTTTGTATCTACTGTAAGCTACAAGCCTGTATAGGCTGTATTGAAATAAAAGTGGTTTTAATGTCAGGACAATACTGACAACTGAAGGATCTTTTAGATTTCAAGTAACTTAAACTGTGGCATATATATTGGTGTATCTACTGTCTATAGAGCTACAGGTGAAATAGTTTTTGATGATGTCATAGAAGAATTTGCCAACAAGAAAAGCAAGAAAAGTTACTTTTTAGAAAATTGTAATTTTCATTTCAGAAATAAAAATGGTCCTAATTTTTTACACTTTTTTCCCTACATGTCATTTTTGTTTTTTTCTGTTACTGATAAAGTTTATGCATGTTTGGTGTGCATTTAAAACATATTATATTTGGGTATGTGAAAGTAATATTATAATGGTACACAAACTAGTTTTATAACTTTAAGAGTGAGTCACTGTGCAATATGTAGTTGTTTTGGGGGTCACAAACTCAAGGGCTGTCCCAGGTTGCACACATTATAGTGATGCCACTGCTGATCAAACATGTAAAAGTTACAATATTAAAATTAAAAATGGCTAACCTCATAACAACCAATAACAACATGTTTATCAAATCCAAACTTCAGACCACCAATGTAGTTTATCAATTTTTCTGCCCCAAGATTGCAACTCTTAATAAACAGAATGACTAACCCCAGCCACATGTCAGCATGATTAATTCAAAGATTGACAAACCACTTAAGTGACCTTAATGCAATAAATTACTATCTGTCCCTACCTGTTTCCATTAAAAAAAAAAATTCTTGTGGATCTAATTATAAAAGATTTCTTGAGAGAATTGAAGCACATTATATAATACAGTTTAAACCAACTTAATCTATTTCTGAATGGAAAGAGGCTTTTAAAGCCACCTCCAACATGGAATTGCAACTACTCCCATCTATCACAGCTTAGAATTACTGCTACTTCTAACCTAGAACATAAACACAGGAAAACATACAAACTGTTACCCCCTTGAAAATGGCTAATAAATTGGGCAAAAACGCTTGGGTCAATAATCACTATGGAAAGTTTCTACACTCTCTTAGTCTTCATAAAACCTAAGCTGTAAGAACATTAAAAAAAGTGAATGAAAAATTATCAAATCTTCCTTGTGAGTTATATTTAATGAAATGTGTGTATATATATATATATATATATATATATATATATATATATATATATGAGATAACAATATATATTTTTATATATCAAGAACAGTATTGGTGATATATATCATATATATATATATATATATATATATATATTTGCCCAAGTTTCACTAATTTGAAGCACCCAACACCACTTCTATGATTTATAACATCTTGTTATCTTCACTACAGGCCCCTCTCATCATCACCATCATGACTCTGTCTCCATTTAATCACTCATTCGACCAATCTATAGTTTCACTATCCACTCCAGGCCTCCCTTGTCATCACCACCATAACCCTGTTTCATTGATTGCCAGGTACTCTTGTTTTCTAAGTACACCTATCTGTTAGGATGGCTAGCTAATCCCTGTTACAGACACCTGCTCAGGCACATCTGTGTTTGTTCAACACTCTCAGCTCAGAGCACAACTGTGGTTTATACTGCAACTATGATGAGTCAACAGTTTCTGGGAGAGAGTGCATAATCTCTCAATGCCAGTACATTCAAACCCTTGGTCATGATGACTTGTAACATTATGCTAGCACAACCATCACTGAACAATTCTATTCACCCAATTTCCCTGATATGGCTTGGGTCAGCTTGTTGTATAGTTTATAGGCACTTTCCAAAGATGTTGCACACTGTACTTGCCTCTCCAGACTAATGACATCAAGAAGTCACCTTCTATGGCAAGATTTGAACCTGGATCTCACACTATAGGACTTATGTACATAACTAATATTTAAATTTAATATAACAGTATTATAGTGTCTAATAATGTAGCAGCAGTGGTATTCTACATTACTTTACCAGACATATTATTTACTCATAAGACTCTGGAAATACTTATAGCTATTTTAGAAGAAAAGAAAGGGATCTTATATACAGTTACATAAGGCATATTTAGACACATACATGTGTGTGCTTATGTATGTTTTATTTTTGCAGTTTAAATGCATTGGCTCTTTTTCTGCCCTAATGAAGTTTTCGTTAGAAATCCGAAATTAATGTTTACAGTAGACACTGAACAAAAATATCATAAAAAAACAATGCAGAATTTATTTTCAGATACAAAAAAGCTTGAAAAAATGAGAAAGGCATTATTATTCATTATATTTTAAAAAAATTAAAATAGTTAAATAAAAAAAATATTGGAGGCAGCAAAATGTAATAGCAGAATAAATTGTTTTTCCATGACTTCTTTGTTTCTTCCATAAATTTAGACAAGTGAACAACACAGGCTTAATGATATTAATATCTTTTTTAATATTAATTAATATTGTTAACTTTTACTACTGAATAAAAACAAATAAGTTTAATTGCCACACAGAGACACATATATGGTAAATCAAGGTCCTCCTTTTTTGCGTCCCTGCCATAGGGAAACATGTCTTTGATGCAGGCTCTGAGTCTATGTCCATGTTTGGAGCCACTTTTATCCCAAAATGAAGTTGGTTGAACTTATACAATCCCTTATGCATATTTATAGTTGTTAATGCTGAACATTCTTCATCAACCTGTATTTGCAAATACGCTTCAGAAAGATCCAACTTTGAAAAATAATTTTCCACCATTTAATTTTGCCAAAATTCCCCCTGGACTTGGTAATGGATAGTTATGGGATTCTAAACATTTGTTTAATCTTGTCAAAAAAACAGCACAAATATGAATTTTATTCTTTTTTTCTTTACATACACTGCTAGTGCTGTGCATTTTAAATGGTCAATCTTTTCAGTTACACTTATTTTTTCAAGTCTGTCTAATTCTTAGTTGACTTGATCCAATGCTGTGAATGGTATGCTAATTTTGGTTTAAACACTGGCATTGACCCTTTTTTTACTTGGAACTCATCTGACAGGACATCCAGAAAACATCTTTTCAATTCCTTCTTTAAATTTTAACTCTGTTTTTTTTTTAAACTGGCTGTTTGTCCACTTATATTTTGCAATAAATATATATAGGTAAATCCCACTGCTCAAATAATTCCATCCAGTCAGTACTGAATAAGTTTGTTGTATTTTTTAACACATAAGCAGACACTGGTTACAGAATGAGATGCTACAATTCATTTTGCCAGTAAAAAATAATTTCTCACCTGACACACCACGTGCGATTTTCGAAGTTCTTTCTAATATAGGCTTTATATTTGTTTTCCATGTAACTTTGTTGATTATTGTGATATCACTATCAGTGTCTAGTTGCATTTTTACATCTACATTACTAATTTTCACATACACAAATTTTCTTTATTTTTTCTGTTGTGATGCTGTGTACAAAAATT